TTATTCGCACGATAAACATTTGACGGAAGTTAATGAAGGCGTTGATTCTTGCAAGCTCCAGGACTTACAAGTTTGTATGCCATGGTTTGCATTAGCTTTTCCTACGTCAGCTGCAAAATAACTCGCTTAAATTTTCTTTATGCCCATTATTTTCGAAATAAGAGTATGAATTCATTTTTTCGTATAATATATGAGTTTCCGACGGACAACTTGTAATTAGGATCATAACAAAATATTAACATAAAACGTTTTCTAATGAGCATTTACAAGGAGTACAATCGTGGGAATTTGTCAATCGTAAGCTGACAATTCGTCTAAATAATTCATTGTCTTCAATATTGGATTAATTTTTGTGAACCTGCATACAAATTTCTCACCAATTTCTTCTCATCGAAGCTGAATCAACATCCAGATTGCTTATAACGACGTCTCCCAATCATCCTCTGGTACCTATAAATTTCTCGATAATGTCGTAATCTTTTCTGCTCTAATCTGATTGATCAATAGGAATGCTCCGAATTTGACTAGAATTAAACGAACTTTCTTCCTTGCTTGGGTCGCTAACGACTGAAGACCTCTTTAGGAAAACACCGAAAAGGGCTTTAACGGCTCCAAAAATTTCTGTAAGAACATTCAAATGACAAAAGTAGAAGGCCGAAAACATTGCATCCACTTAAGGATTAGTCCCGCTGAGCTTCTAAGAAAACACCTCAGAATTGAGCGTTTCGATAAGCCCCCTTTTTCATCATCCCAGATCGGTTCAGAAAAAGCAAAACCGCCGCCGCTCGTTCACGCACGTCGGCCTAAGCCGCCGACACATCCTTGCGAACTGCGCCCCGGCACCAGCAGAGGAATTGTTGCGGACTCGTAGTCGTGTGGTTATGGTACTGTTATTGCACCTGAAATTTAAGAATATATCTGTGGTGCACGATCATGTGAAGTATGCCGGTACTATGCAACTATCGTGGATAATTTATTCAGTGTATCTCAATATAACAAATGCGCTTCAACTATTTTCTTCGATGTCCTATAGCACAGTAACGATACATTTTCCTTGTGCTGTGAAGATTTTTTCTGTATCGTTGTCAAAGCATCACGGTTTATTTTCAAGTGTATTCATCACACGTTGTTACGGATGAAAGGGAGTTGTTTTATCATATTTTTTCGATTAATTTACTTGATTTTTCTTTATCGTGGCAGAAAATCGAATTTAATAGGTTAAAATGCATTTCTTTCTATTCAGTTTTCACTTGCATTTTTGATAATAATTGGCGATGTAGCCTTATATATCTATTTAGTTTTCGCACGTTTGAGGCATTCTCGAAGAAGGTATCATGAAATTAATTTCAACGTATATATAATACCTCGACTAAATACGCATTCAGATAAATGCAAGAGTAGACAATAGATTACATAGCAGGGATATTAGAAATTAACAGCCAAGCGGTAGCAAATGATCAAACATAAACACTGTGAAACTTATTAATTACGATCAAGACCGAACAAATGAAATAAAACTACAGAGAGAATTAGTGAAGTATATACATGCAATAAAATGAGCAGAAGTCTGTTCGATTTGTTTTTCCACACTGAAATAAAGAATGTTTTTGTAGTTATGCCACATGGAAGTCTCTCAATCACAATGTGAGCTCAATAGTGTGATAGTGTGAGGTTTCGCTTACAGTTAGTCATTATCAAGCAATCGTCATGAAAGGTTCCGGATCAGAAAAACAAGTGCACCGTCATCGAGCATGCAAATTCAATGCTCGTGAAAATGTTATGTTGTACAACTCATTTAATTAAATGAACAAATATTATTCAGTTATTCATAATTAAGGTCATGTGAAATAATCTTAATATTCAGCCTGATTTGAACTAATTTCGGATTAGAAGAAAACATAATGAAACTTGAATCTAATATACGACCCCATTAGCTCTTATATATGACACCCCCATCACGGTGTCTCGACACACTTTAATTAACTTTGACTCAAACATTACGGCCAATAGCGTCCGATGTTGGCATGAAAATTGACTGGAATGTTAAACTTTATCAGCTTTTACGTCACGTCTGTTTAACTCCACTTCTTGTTTGTCTGCTACAAATCTTATACTCGATATTTAACACGCTTCTACATGTCCAATTGATCTGCAATTTTGATCTTGTGTTAATTAAGTCGGAGATGATGCATGAATCAATGGACAGCATAAATAATTTGAATTTTTTTTCTAATATTTAGGAATAAAATAAGAGATTCATTGTAGAACATATGTAAAATTGGAGACGCCGGCCTCTTTAAAAAAAAGTGGTCTTTAAAATGTAATTTTTGAGCGCATATTTTTCTTCTATAATCCTACGTCCAACTTTCCGATATCTCCTTTCGGGAAACCAACAACTTGAGAGTTTTGATTAACTCATCATTCACCAATAACGCCTGGGATGAGATTTGAAGATGCGTTTTGCACCCCATGAATTGTGTGGAGGGCAATTATATATACTATTTAAACGTCTACTTTATGTTTCATTTTCTAATTCGCGGTTAAATGAGCGGGCCTACGTGGATCTCCTTGCGTACTAGGTGTCCATAGGCTGGAGACCTGCTGCCCACGCGCACCATTTGGCCCACGACATGCTGCCTGTTCACTTATAGTAAATTTAAGATTGTATCTCTCTACTACCTATATAATATCACTCTCTCATGTCATATACGCATATAAAAAATTCAATCTAAAGACGTATATCAGGTGCTATCGGGCTCCTGAATCTTAACACATAAAAATTTTTATTCATCGCAGAGTGATATCTTAAATAAATTCGATCTCGAGCAAAATATGATGAATCTACATTAACAGTGGCATATTTCAGTATTGTCTGGCAAAATTTCGTAATCCTAATTAACTATTCAGATGCATTATACTCGTGGTTGAACTAGTCAATCATGCATTATACTTACCATGGCGGAAACTCCGCCGAATGAGTGTTTTCAAGCGATGCTGCATCCCTTGTGAAATCAGAATAAAAAAATCTCCAAACGTATGCTGAAAACAATTTATTTATTTCGTAGTGCTTATTAAGCTCGAAATTGGGTCGGATGGACTTGAGACATTACACCTACTAGCCTGAAGAAGGACAAAGCCTCAGGCCCGGATGGGTTGAGCCCTCGCCTTGTTAGCAGAAGTCGCCGACGCAATCGCCCGGCCTGTTGCCATCATCTTCAGAAAATTTCTGGAGTCAAGCACTATTCCAGACGCCTGGAGAAAAGCAAGGGTCACTCCAGTTTTCAAGAAATGGAGTCGCCTGCAGGCCAGCAATTATAGGCCAGTTAGCCTGGCATGTGTTCTCTGTAAATGTATGGAAGCCCTTGTGAAAGAGCGGATCATGGCACATCTACACCGTAACAACCTCGTCAGCAGAAAGCAGCATGGGTTCGTTGGAGGGCGTTCGTGCGTCACACAGCTGCTCGAGACGCTGGACATATGGACAGAGGTCTTACACGATGGGGGCTCTATAGATGCCATGCATCTGCATGGACTACATGAAGGCATTCGATAGCGTTCCACATCGACGCTTGGTTGCAAAGATTGAAGGACACGGTATAAAGGGGAGAGTGCTGGGATGGGTTGAGGATTTCCTGAAAAACCGGAAGCAATGTGTCGTTGTCAACGGAGTAGAGTCGAGTACAGCTGATGTGGTGAGCGGTATACCTCAGGGTAGTGTCCTTGGTCCCATATGCTTCGTTCTGTATATCAACGACCTGCCCCGTCGTGTCCTGAGCCATGTGGAGCTCTTTGCTGACGATACCAAGGTCTTTGCTCGCAGTGACGACGCAGTTGCCAGAGAGACCCTTCAGGGTGACCTGGACCGGCTGTACAAGTGGTCGACAGACTGGCAGCTGCGCTTCCACCCCGAAAAATGCTGTGTCCTCCGTCTGGGAAATCGAAGCAACAGCACCCAATATAATGTGATGGGTAGAGACGCTCTGGGCAATGAGTATGTAACGCCGCTGAAGGAGAGCGAATCGGAGAGAGACTTGGGAGTGCTGGTGGATGGAAACCTAAAATTCAACCTTCATGTAGCTCAAATAGCTGTGAAGGCTAACAGAATTTTGGGCGTTATCAGGCGCACTTTTGATTTTCTTACTCCGGAAACATTAGTTCAGCTCTTCAAGTCTCTTCTTGTTCGGCCAGTTCTGGATTCTGGAATACGGACACTCAGTATGGCAGCCGCGACACAAGACCCTCTGCTCCGACCTGGAAAATGTCCAGAGAAGGGCGACCAAAGTGATCGCAAGTCTCAAAGAGAAGCCTTACCAGGAGCGTTTGGTAGCTTTGGGCCTGCCTAGCTTGGAGCACCGCAGACTGAGAGGGGATATGATTGACGTCTTCAAGTATGTCCATGGAGCCTACGATGCCGACCGGCCGAAGCTGCATCTTTACCGCGGAAGGGATACACGAGATAATAGCCTGAAGCTCGCCAAAGAACGCAGTATAAGAAATGTGAGATCAAGCTTCTTCTCCCAGAGGGTGGTGTCAGTATGGAACAGCCTTCCTGACAGCGTCGTAACTGCCCCCTCTGTGAGCGCTTTCAAGAGCAGGCTTGACAGTTGCTGGGCGGACCGACCGGGCCTTTTCGATCCTGAGTGCTACCATTAGCCTTTCAGTTTGCAGTCACCTGGGGTGCACCATCTGCGCGTGTAACCTAATGGGGGCGGCTATGCTGAGGGTGAACAGGCCTGAGTGCCTACTACACCGACAATTCAATTCAATACTAAAAGTAAGTTTTAGGCTATCTTTACATATACCTATAAATCAATTCGAAATATTCTACCGGCAATGGTAAACAAAATTAATAAAATATGACACAAATGAAAAAAAATTATCAATTTGTTTTCAAAATTTGATCCTCATTTCTATTAAGTTGACCAATAAGATTAAGAGCAATTGAAGGTAAGTGAAATAAACTACGGTTAGTTATGTATAGGTTAAAAGTGCAATTAATATTCAATTTGGTTACGGTTATACTGTGTAAACGAGGTGCTTGAATTACCTCCTTTGTGTAAAAGGTGAAAAATATTATTTTAAATAGTTGGTGCCACCGTGCCAGCACGGCGCACGCCATGGTTAACCGAATAACCGTTAACGCCAATGGTAGCCCTTCGTTGAACCGCTTATTTCTATGCCTAGCTAGCTATCATGCTTTATGTTTTTGGACCTTAGGACGTGCCGGTGCGGCAGGCGCCAGGCGGCAGCCACGGGCTCACAGCAATCGGCATGTCATAATAGAAGTTCCAATCTCTTCTTTCAATAAAATTTTTAAAACTTACCCAAATAAATTTATTCTGAATAAGTCTTAAAATTTCTAACTTGCTAAGATGACAGACAGTTCTTACTTCTAGGTAGCTAGTTCTTTAGAAGTAGAACTGACTTATTGACCCTACCTGTGGGCTGTGTAGTTGTACTCCATGTAGGATAGGTATTGTAACTTTGCAAATGCAGGGGGAAATTTGTCAGCTGTTTTATATGGATACCAAATTAACATATTCTTTAACATACTAGGTAAATTGAGTGCCAAGTTGCCAACTGCCAAGATGGCAAGACCTCTTGAGTCTGACCTCTGACCTCAGAATGTTTTTTTTGATGATTCATTGATTGTCACTGTTGTCTGTCAGTCTGATGTCTGTCACTGTCAAAAGTCAAAACTGTTGGAGCTAATTTTTTTCCTTAATTTTGTATGGGTTCACTGTTCAGCATCATTTTTAATCCAATATTATATATTTACTCTGCCTTAAAGTTAAAGTCTTTGCTAGAACATAAAAAAAAAATGAAAAGAATCTCAGACTGGGGTGAATGACTGACCCCTTACAGTTAGCTAGTTATTTATACAGCAAATAGCATGACTGCATGACTGCTAGGCCTATATAAATGGTAGACCTATAAAAATAATCACTTTTGCCATAAAAGAATGCAGTTGTATTTGTTTCTAGGTTATTGTTTATGAAAAATGATACTTTGATATTTAAATAAAAAAGAAATGTGCAAAGTTAAAAAAATTGGCTGGTTATCGGTTATCACTAAAATGTTGTTTCATGAGCCCTTTGAACCCTTGACTAATCTCACTAAAATTTCTCCAATTTAATTGATCAAAATAATGGGATATCTACAGACTACAGGAACCCCTTTGGTAAGCTACATTGTGGAATATCATGGAAAGTTGACAAAGTTGAGGGATATACCATCAGAGTGATCAGACCCATCTTACATTCTTACTGAATACTGACACCTGCTACTTTTCCAGGTACAGTGTACATATATAATGGCACATAGCATATTGGATCAAAATACCTTACCTAGCAACTCTTCAAATAATTTTGGATTTATCAAGGCCCCAAGGGACCCTTAGGAATTTTTGTTAAATAATTGAAATGGCAACTGGCAAGGCAATCATTTCTGAAATTCTGCCTGGCTGAAGTTAGTATATTATCATGATTAGCATTAATGGCATAATATAATGATATTTGTTGGCACTGACAGGTGGCAGCCACAGGTTCACTGGATTTTTTCTGGATTTTATTGTAGGCAGTGTAGAGTTCAGGTATGGAAGGGTAATATGAACAAGTGCACTTATCACATTGAATCTGTAAATCAAAACTAGAATTTTCATTTATTTAGAGCTAATATTTTTGAATTCTAAAGTTACCATGCTGGATCAATCTTTGATGTATGAAATGGCATTCCTAGATTCCACCCTGCTGATAGTTTTTTTTTTATCTAAAAGTTTATCTAGTTTCCAAGGAGATGCAGATTGTTTTATGAGAGGATCTTCTCTTACCAGGCTGCTATGCACTTGCATATATAAGTGATCATGCTCACATTTAATTTATACTTTTTGCCACTGGCAGCTGCCATTGATGCAATTGTATCCACTCAACAAGTGTCTGTGAACAAAGGCATATGCTTGCAGCCTGCAGGTGACAGTAAGTGTTTATGAACTAACATAATGCTGGCTACTGCCAACAGTGGTGACAGCTGTGGTTGTGCTAGTACACGATTGTATCCTCAGCCATACTCGTATGCATTTTGACCGCCATTGACTGCATTCATTGCAGTATTAGTGACAATGGCCTGCATTAGGTGTTGGCTGCCACCACCCAGTCTGTGTGGTATTGCTTGGTATCAAGATGGTCGTGTATGTACCACATGGTCCATTGATTCCAGGAAGCCCTGTTTGCAAGTGAAAATTCCCCAATATCCTACATTTTCTTAAGTGTGTGGCTGGAGAATTTAGCAAAAATCTGCCCAATATAAAAACCAATATCACCCATGTCCGGGGAATAAATTAAGCTGTGCTTGCTTCTGTTTGTTCATTCCATCTGTGCTTATTAGTTCTATTAAGCAATAAATATTTTATGGGCAAATTTGCTCAAAATTCCTGTCTGCTAAATCTTGATCAATTCTTTTGATTTAAAGCTGAGTCAAGCATATAAAGTACAAGTATCAAGACTATTTTGTATCATAAACACATTTTCATTATTGTATGTTCTAATGTGTGTATGGTAATGCATTCACTTGTCTACATTGTTTCTTATTCATGTTTGGAAAGTGAGCAGTTAGACATTTTAAATTGTTTTGTGTCTCCAAAATGCAATTTTCTCCTGGATAATTACTTGCATTCAGCCTGTATGACATGGGCATATGCAAAGACTTCCAAGTCTAAAAATTATATGCTATATTGGGCATATTAATATTCCCATCTTGTAATTTAGGATCAGAAATTATAAAACTATTGTATTTATAACTAACTTACTTTTTACCCATCAGATAATCATGTGTGATGTCTTCCCACTGTGATCCGTGGTGTGTCTGGAAAGGAAATTTAGTTGTTGGTGTCTGTTGCATTGGTGAGGCTTCCATCACCTGCCATGGTCTGCAATATGTTCCTCCCATGTAAGTTCTCAAACAACTCTAATGCTCCTCTTATATATACGGTACTAAATTCGTGCTAAATTCAAGTTCTTTACAAACTGTAGTTGTCTTCTTTGATCAACTTTGAGATGGCCAAGTTCTAATTTTTTTCTTGGTTCAGCCCTTATCCTTTCTGAACCGCTTTCATACATGAAATTTTTTTGCAATACAGGTGTTGTTTACTAAAATTCTATAGTTTCTCCATTTTCTCATTGTTGACACTTAATGGAGAAGACTAGCTTGTCATGTATCAAATATTTTTGACTCTTGAAATTGATGCTTTCACTTCAAGGTTAGAACTTTTGGCAGACTCGTTGGCATTTAGAATAACCATTTCTTTTTTATTTTGCAGAGGCTCTCAACTGGCCTTTGACTCGACTGGACGGGCAGAGAAAGTGCTTCATGTTATGCTAGGTTTAGACAAGCCTGTTCAGCTGTCACTCATACATCCCACTGCTGTGAACAACAACACAGTCACGGTCGCTACGATTTCTTCAGAAAATTCTGCCTTCAAAAAACTATCAAAAGAATTGTCATCAACCCTATTTGTATGTTGAAGAAAATGTTTATTGTAGATAAAATAATATTTCAAATTTTTATACTTGTGTAATTTCTTGTATGCTATTGTGAAAAGTAGAGTCCTGTTTTTGTAGATCTTATTGTAGAGACTGAAGATAGATATGTGAATATAGAATTTTTTTTACCATTTAATGGATTAGATTGTAGATGGTTGGATTTATTATCAAATTACATCAATATTGTTTGGAGTCTGAAATGGAAAAATGAATTTCGAAGTTTGTTTTTAAAGTTACTACACCAAACAGTAAAGTGAAAACCACCTTAATTCCTTTCCAAGTCTAAACCATACTTACTAAGCTTGCTATCACCCACTTGCATTTACTGCTAATTCTATGGAATTTGTACGAATATAAATTCAACGTATTTTGTGTAACAGAAGTTTTTTATTCTATTTTTGATCGCGCTTTATTCCAGCCACGTGCAATTTGCGGGTTTGTGAGGAGTCCTGGAAATGTCTGCACAGAAGTAGTCATCCTCCCCTCCTGCGCAACCTCCCTGGCGTTTGGTCTTGTTCCCCCAAATTCTTCTGGTACTCAGGATTCCCTTGCCCCTGCTGTCAAATCCATTGATCATCCAGCATCTGTGGGTGTTAATGCAGCGACTCAAGGATGTGGTGAAGACCTTTTCATAATTTTCGTATCAAGAATCAAGCCTCTGCTGATGATGAGCAATCTAGTTTCTCTTGCTGTGAGTTTTTATCTAACAATTCGTTAAATGAAACCTTTAATAATGCGTATAATCTTGGCGAGGTTGATGGCAGATTGTCTAGCATTAAGAAAAAAATAATACAATTACAATACAATATAATAATAACGATAAAATTAATGACATCTTTTGATGTGAAACCGTCACTTAACGTGATGAAAATATCAATGATCTAGATTTTTGTTCTAGGTTAGGATTTAATTCAACATGGGCTGCCTTTATTATTGTATCTGTAGCTTTATATTATGTGTAAGTTGATGAATCTTCCTCTTTTTGTAGGAAATTATTAAGAAGAAGGCTGAAGAAAATCGAATTCAAGACAAACTATTACTAGAATCAGGAGCTTCTGAAGAACCACTTGGAGCTAGGAAATTATCTACTAATTGTAAAAATGAACTTTTGTCCTGTACCCCTGCAAACAAGGTAAAAGTTCAAGATGCAAAGATGTCCCGTCAAACTGTTGATTCAAGCAAGTGCGGTGCGAGTATCAGACCATGTTCTAGCAATTCGCCTGCAACCAAACGTATTACCACAACCAACTGTGATATTCCTAATGTAATGAGAGCTAAAATATCATCGGCAGTCTCTAGGCTAACTGAAGAGACAGACAAAACTCCAATTATGTCTGCTGTTCAACCAGTTGCTGATCCATCTGTTGACGAACATTCAACTGAGACATCCAAGATTGGACAGGAAGTTGAAAAAGTACCTCGGAAGCGATCTTTAGTCAATATGGTTACTAATAAAAATTTTTCCCTTGGTTTGTCATCTGGAAAGAAATCTGTAACTTCAACTAATGAAATGATAATTGAAGACGAGAGCCAACCAGAACCTATTGATGCAGACCACGCAGTTTCGAAAGGAATTCACAATGAAATCCCAGATCCTGATCGCCGGGAAATATCTCATTCCTGTAGACGCGAAAAGCATTACAAAAAAAGGCAGAAGACGGATAAGGAACGGCAAGCAATGGACATGCTAAAAAGAACTTCTCGCACGAAAAAACATCGTCACAAAGAGTCTTGTCCTCGGTACCAGAAAACCGTAATGGATGCTGAGTTTGTGATACCATTTGAAGCATTGCGGAACTGTTCTAATATGCCTGATATTGCTCAGCATAAACTAGAAAATAACTCGTCAGTTGTCCAGAGAGCCCCCGTTTGCTCCATGACTTCCGAGAAAGAGACTAGTAGCTGTATGAAAAATACGCAGGTTTGTCCTAAAAAACGTGACTCGAAACAATATTCAAACTTTGAAAAAGAAAAATCTAGATGCACACGTACAACAACCGAGAAGCCATTCAAAAATTATAGTCACCGAGACGCTGTGATCTCGAAAGGTTCCGAGCCCACCAGAGATGCTCGTAAAATTGCGGAAGTTATTAAAGATTGCCATGGAGTAAAGCAGAAAAGCGTGAATTCACCTCGTACAGGTTCAAAAACTGTGAACATAAATGTACCTAGAGTAAATTTGTTCGAAAAGGGATCAAAGTCCGAGTGCCGAAATTTGCCAGTCGATCCTGCGCCGGAAAGTGGTCCTTTAGAAGACAACAGAGCCGATGAAATGCAAGTCAATACCTCACCGATTGACAGCAAAATTTATCCGTCAAATAAATTCCATCCTGAATCTGACGATAGTTTCAAGGTAGATCATTCTATTGGGCCTCGAGAAAGTAGCAAGTCTAAACTTCCAAAGTCCCACCATGCTGACGTGCTACCATCAAACATTGATAAAGTCCATGTTCCAAATCTGCAAGAATCGTCGAGCAAACTACTCAAGCGGAATGCCCAACAAAATAGTGTCCTCGAGAAGAATATTAGGTGTAGGTTCAGTGGCCCAGACTCCAACAAGGTAACATCGGAAGATCTAACGACTGATTTGCAAAAACATGACTCAGAGTGTTTAAAAAGTGCATCTCCAGACTCGAGTTGGAGTGAACATGAAATTCAGTGTTCTGAGGAAAGAAACACTGTCCAAGGTTTGCGGAAACCTAAAAACTTTGAACATGAAACTTCGAAATTAAAGAAACGTGGTCAATCTGATTCAAAAGAAATAAGTGTCGACTCAGGAGTGTTGTCGATTTCGGATTTGGACTCGGACACCAAAGAACTCTTATCGGACTTAGAATCAAACGAAGAAATCCGCATGTTGTTAACAACTCTAGCATTGCAGGAGGCCTTGGAAACTGAGGAGTCATTGACACGTGCACTCAAGGACATGAATATACCAGACACGGATAAAGATATATTGACGAGTAAAATCAAGCGTCTCCTCTCTTTACTCAGTTCTTCCCCAAAAGCCTGTAATTTAACTCAATTGAAAACATCCAGCTTTGTGACCAATAAAGATTTTACAAAATCAGAAACTTCGATTTCGGAAGATTGTGCGGCGGTGATAGAACTTGAAGTTGATGAGACTGGTAGTGAGAGTTATTCTGTCAAAATGCCTAAGTACTCCTCTGAAAAAATTAAATATGCTTCCGAACAAACTCTCAAAGATGGACTTTCTAAAGTTCGAACATTAGTCGATAAATTTTGCGGAAAACGAAAAGAAGCTACCCCATCGCTTGTATCAAGTCCATTTAAGAAGCTCAAATCGGAGCTAAAATCAGACTTGAAAGTGCCATATGTTTTAGTAGAAGATCTCAATGCAAACGTCAGTACGTACGAAGCATTGGACATTACTGCGGGAGCTGCGAACTTGAGCCATGCAGAACCCTGCTCATTTTCTTCTGTAAGTGACACTGTGAGTCGGAGTGAGCCTGCATCTGCCATCATTAACCGTAGATCGTTTTCCATCGAGCTGCCTCTCGAAGAGAATCGAAATAACTCTCCTGACTTTGAAAACCAAAACGAGCCTCTCGATTTGTCTGTGAGGAATGAAGACGTTTCTGTTAATCATGTTGGGAATTCTTACTCGGAATTTGACTTGGAGTATCCAAGCGGTGGTCATCATTTAGAGTTCCCTCATGATGGATTTGTTTCTTCTGTAACTGTAGGTATGACGAAGGAACCCAACTCTTTCGCTGACACTTTTTTTGAGTGCTCGAACCCACCAAGCATTCTTCGAGATTCCAGCCTTTCAGCAAGCCTCCTTCCAGATATTTCAGCAGCTAAAAAACTTGAGCAATCGAGCACTTCAATAGGAAATATAACGTCATCCGCTCTCGGTCGTTCGGTGCTTGATACTTCAAACGCGTGCATGGCACTTCAGTCTCCTGAATCTGAAACTCATCCGAGTATTAGCCAAACACACACAAGTTGCATCAATGCTGATTCGATGGCTTCTGCGTCAGTCAATTTGAGGAAGGAAGTTCCAGCTAGTGCGGCTCAGGGTGAACAGTGTAGCACGAATAATTCATTTCATGGTGCCCAATACAATGCATTACCAAGTAGCTCTATGTCTACCGCGACGTCAGGAGGCATTCAACAAAACGGGGAAGGCTTCTCGGTCTCGAGCTTAATCTCGTGCATGAGGTCTTTAGACCGAAAAATTTTGGATGAGCACGCTGCACTGCTGAGAAACGATGCTTCTGTTAGAGATGGACTAAATTACTTGACCTCGCTGCTGCGCGCACAGGACCTAAAAGCATCTGGGAATTCTTGCCCTAACACAACTAAAGTTAATTCTTACATTGAGGACCAGTTACTGAAGTTGCACGATGTGCGAGATTCATACCACAGCTCTCTTGATTTAGGAACGGTCGAAGTCGCTAGGTCACAAGCAAAACCGTCATCAATGAAAACTAGTTTCGATGTCGGAATCTGTGAAAAGAGCAAACCGGAGACAGAAATGTCTGAAACGAATAGGCCGAACGTATATCACTCTAACAACTCGTTGTCAACATTCTCTCATCCGTCGTCTTTCTCAGAAAAAGCTGTCAAATCCAGTCCTGGAAATGAGAACATACACATGAAAGACGTGGCTCATTTCTCGAGCAGTTCCACTGTGGTGGGCAAACCGCCACTACCGCCGTGTGGCACCGAACGAGTTGTGCTGCTGCAACGCATAGCGGCAGAGTTGTGTCAGTGGCCGTGCTGCTCTCTGCGCGACGTCGCTGAGTCGACACCCGTAGCAGCTCAACCTCACGCCGAGAACTTGACCAACTGCAAATATGCCAGCATCTTCATGCCTTCTGAAGATGAACGCCAACAATTTCAGGCATTTTATTTATTTTAATTGTAGTTATGTTGATTGTTAATCATATTTATGTATTGAGGGCCAAGATTAGTATAAAAATGGCATGTCTTCTTTTCATTTTTTCAGTGCTGAAAGTTTTGTACAAGATATTTGGTTTGTTCAACATCTTTGTTGTGTACAGCATCTTTGTCTTGTACAGCGTCTTTGTTTTGTACAACATCTTTATCTTGTACAGCGTCTTTGTTTTGTACAACTTCTCTGTTTTGTACAAATTCTCTGTTTGTACAACTTCTCTGTTTTGTACAACTTCTCTGTTTGTACAACTTCTCTGTTTTGTACAACTTCTCTGTTTTGTACAACTTCTCTGTTTTGTACAACTTCTCTGTTTTGTACAACTTCTCTGTTTTGTACAANTTTGTACAACATCTTTGTTTTGTACAACATCTTTGTTTTGTACAACATCTTTGTTTTGTACAACATCTTTGTTTTGTACAGCATCTTTGTTTTGTACAACATCTTTGTTTTGTACAACATCTTTGTTTTGTACAACATCTTTGTTTTGTACAACATCTTTGTTTCGTACCACATATTTGTTTTGTACATCTCTGTTTTGTACAAAATATTTGTTTTATCCATCTTTGTTTGTACAACATAGTTGGTTTGTGCAACATCTTTATTTTGTAAGACGTTTTACAGAAACTGCTGGTGAAGCTGCGGCTGCTGTACCGTCCCGTGTCCAGTCTAATAGAAGATGGAGGCGGTCTGCTGTTGATGAGATCCTCAGCTCTCGCCGCTATGTTGCTCGACGAAGCGTGGAACGCCGTGCTCTGCCATCCGGCCATTAGGTATTCACGCTTTAAAATTGAGACTTTGTATTGAAAATCAATTACATGAAAACTAATTAGGTTCATTTCGGGTGAGCGTTCTTCCGAGTTACCTACAGTTTGACTTGAGACCAAGCCATGTAACGTCTTAAGGCGACGCATTTAAGTAAATTTAATTAACAAATTGGCGGATTATTCGATTCTTATTTCCGCTAGTGTCCGATGTCAATTCACTTGACCTGATAGAGATTGAGGACGAGTCAACATCTGATAGACACTTGATGGATCACGCGATCAAGACCTCAGTAGTGGGCGGAAGCGAACGTAATAAAAGGGCAAGCAAACTTAAGTAAAACCCCCCAGTAGCTGATGAGCACTCCGCGATGTAGCGTGTCGGTAGAGTTCTCCGACCTTACGGTCGATGCCGTAGCTTATACCTCTGTATCGCAACTCTGTAAATTACCACCCCGTATACAAGATACGTTATCTGGACAAGATACGTTATTATGCGTCTTACTTATCCCTCACTACCTTAGTCAACGAAGCCCGATCCTCAGGTAGAGCTTGAAACAATGAGTTCAATATCATAGGTTGTAGTTAATTCACAACCTGTGACACTAGCATCACCTGTCATCCAAATATATATAGTGTTTATACCTTGAACGTGATTTAAAATGAATGTATTTTCTGATCATATGAACTAATAAAAGTGTGTAATTACTGAACTTTGTTCAGAGTTTATACCTACGAAATGGGCGCTCGTCTCATCATGAGCAACCTAACCCCTCGCCTCTGCTCTGGTCAGCTTCTGCTGTTGCATCACACGGCACTTCTTGACTCTAGATTCGGTATTTAAAATGACTAAGAACTGTCTTCTCTACCTTCCAGATAGGAAACACTACTGTTACTAATACTTCTCTACTTTTCTTATACTCAAGAAAATTCTTGTTCCGTTGACTACAATCGTACTTTGCTTAAATACATGTAAATAAACCTCTTTATTGGCTGACGCAAGTCGCGTGAGGAGTCTCAACTAATGAGGAGTTGATTGATTTGCTGAATAAAATCTGGTTTTGCTACCTTAATAATAAAGAAACTATTGATTATTTAACTAAAATCGTGTGTATTACTTGGCTAGTGAGGCTAAAATCTTGACTCTTATCTCTTAACCCAATGGAAATTTTGAGTTATTTTGACATTATTAATCATAATTTATGTGCCTTGCATTGCAGGGTGGATGGTGAGCGACATGTCGAGGGACGTCCTGGGACGACAGCCCGCATACCATCTCATCCTTATCTCCAAGGCCTCCTTGAGGCGATGCATTGCTTTGTACGATAAAGAAGTGACAATTATTTTATTGCCTATATTATCTGCTTTCTGACGAGATCCCACAGAATAATTTTACAATTACCCTAATGTTTTGTATGTGAACTATTATTTATCTTATCATTCCATTTGTGAGATGCAAAAGATGTCAAAATTTTATAGCTTTTGTAAATTGGTTTGTATAATTAATGATTATCTGTTTTCCTTTTTGCTCTCGTAAAGTCGTTCTTAATTTTGATTGCGTTTTCTGCAAGTGTCAACGTATTGCGGGTATCAAAACGTAGTTGAAATGCAACAAATTCATGTCTGAGTGGTTTGAGTTCGTCACGCCGTATGACTAGGCATTATCTTATGTTCGTTTTTAGAATTGGTTTTCAGCTTGGATTTTTTTTTTCTAACATGATACCGTTTACATAGTGAGGTGCATTAACTCGCGTTAGTTTTGTCACAATGATATATCGTATTTAAACTGTAACAACTATTTTATTACCTCTAAATTTACAGTTTTAAGGACTTTCATGAATATAAAATGAATTTTTGATAAATTTATAAAAATTTATTACTTTCTTATATATAGTTATTAGCTCAGTAAGTTGCAGATAAGTTATTATTATAGTTCACCATTATATCGTGTCAAATATCAAATTATAGTTTATCATTATTGTACTTTCGACTCATCGTTTGAGACTGATAGCTTCGATATTGTAAACTCCTGTTCTAGAGCACTGAAGAGCCGACCTTCCAGCGCCCTCGAACGCAGTCTCTTCTCCGCGCTTCACCACAATCTGCGGATGCTCCGACGGTAAGAAAATCTCGCATGATCATTGCCTTAGATAAGAAACCTAGTGTCGTGAAGCCTTGCCAACACTATCGAAAATAGTTGTGAGTTCTTAACTCCATCAGCTACCCACTCCCACTGACGGTTTTTCAAGCCAAACACATTAATTACAGACGAGAAGTCGGCTACTACGCATACTTAAACGTGTTTTGATAGTAACGTATACGACAAGCAACGGTTACTACAAGTCAGATTATTTATAATGCAGTGCGCAACAAAACCTATTGGTTTGACACGCTTCACGAATCTTAGACATTTATACAGGTGGTAAGAACCTGTCGCTTCCCCAATGATAATAACTTGATTCACTTGGTATCATCGAAAACACTGCTGCTCAAATCAAGCTTAACAGAATTCAGAAATATATCTCATCTGCATGACTTATCATCCATATATTTATCTAATTTAGAGTAGTTTTTGAATTGGGGCTTATTTAATAGTATACCGTAAAATGGGGTAACTTTGACCACTTTTTTTCAAAATGATGCCATTTTTTTACTAGATAAGTTAGACTAAAATTGAAACATGCAAAATACAGGTCTATACTCTAGCTTCACTCACCATAAATTGCTGGCTCCTGCCTCTCATAGTTTTGATGTAATTTCAAAAAAAGTGATGGTCTTTGTTACCCCAGCTCTTGGGGTTTCTTTGACCGGGTGGTAAAATCAATTTTATTTTTTGGTAAAATAACTCCAGGTTGTGGTGCATTGTAGTAGAACTCTTCTAGTTACATATGCAAAAGACAAATTTTAGGAAAGTGTCATAGTTTGCAAATGGGGGGCGCCGCCCCCAATGGGCGAAATGTGACCACCTAATGGCAGCCGTGACGGGGTAACATTGACCGGTTTGGAAATTAAGTTAAAATTACCATATATAAGACTCTGTAGAGTCTGAAACATAAAGAAAAAAACATTAATTGGTGTATCAAACATAAAATATGTTAATAGGTATCTATGGTAATTTTAACTTAATTTCCAAGCCGGTCAATGTTACCCCGTCACGGCTGCCATTAGGTGGTCAAAGTTCCCCCATTGGGGGGCGGCGCCCCCAATTGGCAAACTATGACACTTTCCTAAAATTTGTCTTTTGCATATGTAACTAGAAGAGTTCTACTACAATGCATCAAAACCTGGAGTTATTTTACCAAAAAATTGTGTTGGGTACTCCGACAGGCTTTAAATAATAGCTCTTTTTCGTGGGTCACATTATTAATTTTTTAACCTATTAGATATGCAAACTTTTTAAATCTTTCTATTGTGTTACGTAGCCTCAGTATTAGGCCTTTGATGGCCATTGATAAAATTTTTCTATGTCAAATCGTTTTTGAGTTTTGGGGGTTTTTTGTTAAAAAAAACGTTAAAGTGGTCAAAGTTACCCCGCCGGTCAAAGTAACCCCATTTTACGGTATAGTGTTGCTGTATATAATAGTCGTAAGAAAGTTCAGTAGTCTACAGGCATATTATTTGTGTGAACCTGTTGACGGGTGAATGTGATTACCCACCTCTCTCATCAGCATTAATACATTTACTGATTTAATGATCTTTTTTTTAAATTGAAGCATCTTCATACTATATTGTGTCGTTGAAATGTATTTGTGTGAACCATTTTAGCATAAATGTGGTTAGCCCGCACTTATCCACTCTAAAGAGCATTATCTTTAGTTATAATATATTGTATCAGTGAACTGCATTTTGTCTATGTGAATAGGTTGAGCATGAATGTGGTTAGCCCGCACTTCCTAACACTCACGTACACATCATTAGTTATAATATATTGTATCAGTGAACAGAATTTTGTTCATATGAAGAGGTTTAGCATGAATGTGGTTAGCTCGCACTTCTCGACACTCAAGTACACATCATTAGTTATAATATGTTGTATCAGTGAACAGCATTTTGTCCATGTGAATAGGTTTAGCATGATGTGGTTAGCCCGCACTTCTCGACACTCAAGTACACAACACTACCTTGCAGGGGCGTTGCTGGCGGGTTGGTGCGCGTCGTAAGCGAGCTGAGTGACGACGCTGCCAGTCTGCCACAGCTGCATCGAACCTTACACTGCGTCCACAAGAAAGCTCTTCTTCTAACTGGTGAATCGCCAGAAGTAGTCAATTTAAGATATATTTTTCTTCTGTGAAAAGTTTTTACTGCATCAACATGAACCCATGCTAATCGCGTGAGCCTTCGACACATTTTTCTGGTATTATAGGATTATACTATATGCTATTATAGGATTATATTATACTCTGAATGTAATTTCATGTTAACTGTGGATTCGACTTTCTTCATGCATTTTTATAGCTTTGTAACATCTTCTGCAGGCGCCCGTTATGCCAATGAAGCGGCAATGCAAAAGCAGTTCTACCGCACCGTAACGCTTTCCACTTTATGCCCGCCACTGGACTCCCGTGTTACACCTCCGTCGGTTACATTGGATCCGATTCTCTCCTCTTCTTGGCCTCTTTTATCAGAAATCCCTGCTATGTCGGCCTCCAGCGCCAACGCTTTGGCTTCAACATCTTTGCATCAAGGATACTTCTCCTGTAGTAACATAAAGGAAGCACCTCGCCTACAGAAATATATGGCGTCATCCATGGAGCCTACGACATCTACTGTTGGTGATGCACGAACAGCAATCGACTGTCATGACACAGGAATACCCTCAGGATTTGACTGCCTTGCTCCGCACTTACAATTTTCCAGTCATCTACACAAAACTTTAGAAAGTTGTGCATCTGATCCTTCCTTAGTCACAAAATTACAATATAGTGACAATAGTCATCTTCCGGCGCCGGATCAAACATTCTACCGTTCTCCTCAATGTCTTCCATATCCAATTCTTGACGATGCTGCCTCTGGTTTTCCCGACTTTCAGTTACCAACCTCATGCTACGGTTCATCAGCGTTGCCCGCTACAAGATGTACTGAAACCAAAAAAGTATCGATTCCGGCGAGCTTGGAAAATTCAGATCGTCCGATCTCAACTTCTTTGTTTGCTGATGCTAACGAAAATATAATTTGCAATGAAAATTTGCACTCAATGCCGTATTCTTCTGCGACGACATCAGCTGCAATCCGCTCTTTTCAGCCCTCCATCGTACTTCCAAAGGTGCCAGTGGTTGAGGGGAAAAATTCAACTTCCCGTAATGTCTCCAGTTGGTGTCTGTAACTCCTCTTGTTTGAGCTGATGGAAATATTACCCTTATACAATTATTTTTGCCATTCCTTACTATTAGACCGTTAATACGTTTTACCTTTCTTGGATACCAAGTATTGCGACAATCAAGTTATTAAATTGACGAATTTACAAATACTTCGAATGTGAATGGCTTCAGATCGCCAAAGAATCGTCATTTGTTCATAAAATACGTTCATTTGAGGTTTCATGGTGCATTTTAAATTGAAATGAAATATTTGTTAAGGTTATTGTTTTCAGGAAACTTTGGCTGGGTGTCCTTCAGTGCAGAGCCCTAGCATCACGTCCTGCAAGGTGAGCTCGCCAGGACCTCAGTCTTGCAGCTCTTCCACGGAGTTAGCCAACCGTATCCCCGCTGCCTGCCACCCTGCATCCATCGAGAAAAGTGTACCTGTTGTAGATTTGGTCTCTGTGCAAAGTAAAGAAGAGCCCACGGAAACCCCTCTTTTCAAAACAGAATATTTCATAGATCCACAAAAAAACGAGTTCTGTCGTGATTCCAGTCAATATGCCATGAAAGAAGAAAAAAAAGTTGATGCTGAAACTAATGATGATGATATAAATCTTCGATAATTTAGTTAATAAGCCAAATTCAAACTGCTTCAAGTCATTGAAAGCAAACGATATGTTTTGCCTCACGTTCGAGAAAATACTTCTTTTCTCCTGCATGAATAGCTTGATTTTATTTAGCGCTCTTCACTAGGATTAATACGGTCATTGCAACGTGCGATGTAAACCAAGTTTGAATTACAGTTGTGACTTGCTTCACAAAAAGGAGGTTAGCAAGACCGATGCTTTTGTATCGTATTTTTTTCTAAAGAGGTGCAGCGTGAAGCTGCTCGTTGCACCGACATGTCCTCGCCCACTGTATTTTAAGTTGTGCTCAATTAGGTCTTGGAGATTTTCCTCTCGTATGAATCGTATTCCGTTATAATTCGTCTATTCACTTTGATACTGAACAATATTTATTTGGCATGAAATCCACCAAACAAAATTAGGTACAAGCGCATTGCTGCTAAACGATTGGGAGAAGTTCTCTGCCGATTCCCCCTCTCTTTTACCAGCAATAGCTTCTATTTTCCTTCACTTTTCGATTGCAAGGCAATAAAAATTCTTACAATTTTGGAGGTTTATCATCTGAGCACAGTGCAAGGAGGGTATCTTACTACCTGTTTCTAGCTCTTATCTGTTCTTCAGGCAGAGAGCTACTCTTTCAGTTACCGTCCGATTTCATCTGAGGTTAGCAATAGTTACTCATACAAATTTAATTACTACCGGCTATTGTTTCCTTGGGGCTCTTTTAAAAGTATTTTGATTGCCTAGACGTTATTGTGTTTAGAATAACGGAAAAAGATGATTATTTTTCACATTTCAACATATTTCTCGTCAATGCCACGATTTAACTCCGTTCTGTAACACGCCGTTCAACTCCGTTCTGCATTTCTTTGACGAGAACAATATCGCCTGATGTGTTTCTGACTATCTTCGTTCTCGTTCTATACACAAGCTATCCATCTGGTTTCAAGGGCAGATGTTTTGTACTTTTCACGTCAATTCATGATGAATATTATGATCAATGTTTTTGCCTGCCCACTATTAGGAAACTTACTTCTCGAACTTTAATTATCATCGCTCTATTATTCTGACTTATCGAGTGCACTTCTTATCTGTTCTTCCTTTAGTCAATTTTTTTTGTGTGCATTTAGAGCTTTGTTCTATGCTACGCAAGCGTAAGATATCATCGCGTTACTCCCTTGCACTTGCATTGCCCAGCTGTCAAGTGTTGTGCAGACGAGAACAAAGAATGATGAGATATTTTTGCCGTCATGAACGGACTGACGACAGCTTCATCATTAATTGATCTGCGAGCGTGTTTACGGTGAACGATTTGATGAACTCTGAGTGGATTGTTATTCGTGGTTGTGTTGTTGTGTGGGTATAGTTTGCTCGAGCTTGAAATGGAATGCATTCGTGTGAAGGTAATTTCCACTGCTTCAATTATTTCAGTTTGATTGGTTGAAATATTGTTGCGTTGTGGTTGTGTGACAGTAACATAAACAGTCGCCACTATTTCAGTTTGATAAATTAGATAATTGTTGCCATGTTTTCGTAATAAAGGAAAGCAAGCGCTAACAAAAAACACCTCGGGTGACTCGGTGAATCTAAAGAGTTGGAGTATTACCTATTTTCTGTTGCATTTTGAAGTTATTTTCTGTTTTGTTGCTTCGTTTTTAATTTTGATAATAACTTGAAATTGGTATTAATTAATAAATAATGAATAGTTATCTAATTATTTCTCTAAATATCCCGCGAATCTGGAAGTTTATCTCCTACGACAATGAGAAGACTGGCAGTTTCATCGATTTATTGGTGTTCACTGACTTATTGAAATAGCAAGTCATGGTACTGATCGATGATTTATCCAAAATTATCTATCAAATTTAGCAGTAATCGAGTGCGAACCCCGTAGGTCTTCTGACGCGGGTATCCTAGCGTACCATTGCATATTTTATTTAGTTCCAAGGGACTCGTTTAGTTCCAAAAAGCGTGATGTGTAACAGAGCGGTATCCGAAAACTGTTCTAAGTTTAGAGGGCTTCCTTTCTTCGTTTTCTTGTGCGGGCTGCCAATTTTTCTGCCTGGGACGCTTTGAGTTGCCGCTTTGTATAAAAACTATGGTAAAAAGCCAAACGAGTTAGAAATCTTTATTAATTTGTAAGCATTGAACAATTAAAGAGCGTTGAATTAACGGTGTTATTGCACAACCGACAATATTTTTGGGCAATCTTCTGCGTGCTGAATTACATACAACACGAACTATTATATCACTTATTGAAAAAACTATCTATCGTTTTATTCTTTTTATGTTCCGGAACAGAGATTTTACGTTTTTTATTTTGTCTCGTCAGTTCTGTATTACTAGAAAAGGCTCGATCTTCACCGGCGGCTGTGCCACCGAGTTGCTTCTGAAGATCAAAAGCCAAGTGGTAGTCCGAGTGTTCAGCGAGATCTGAGAAACTGATGCGCTCACCGCAAAGTTCACATTTCGTTGAACATTCTTCTTCGAATTTATTGTTCACGTCCAAGTCTATTGTAGTAACAGTTTTAACAGGCTTATTGGACTTGACATTGTCAGTTGGAAGGCTTTCCAATCTAGTAGGGGTGATAGCATTCGCCTTGAAAAGAGATTTCGTTTGTATGTATGGTCTAAAATCATTAATTTCTGTGCAGTTTGTAGAGCCTTGATTTGAAGGTCCGGCTGACGCCTCTGATGGGTAGGTCACATTTGTTGTACGCGGTGTTTGATCTTTCAAATATCTCATTATTCCTGTTGCCGATCTCGTTTCCGTTGCCTTGTTTTCTATTAAAGGTGTTCTATTCTCCGTAGACGCGAGTGATTCGCCGATGAAATTATGGGTGCGATTACCGCAATTTTCCACTTTTTTCATGAACCGCCTGATGCCCGTTTCATTTAATGCTGGCTTACCGACCCTTTCGGCTTTGTGTTTCATCAAGGCTAGTTGGACAGCTTTCCTGAGATCAACAGGAAGATGAGGTAAAATAGATTCGTCAACTTCGTCCAGATTCGGAAAGAGTTCTTCAACACTAACCCTGCCATCTGTAACCACATTAACCACATTGCGAGTGGTTAGAGAAGAACAGGCTGTTGGTAAATCAAGAGACAAGTTTTCTTCATTTGCTTTAGAAGAAACGACATCGTAATTGACACAGCTAGTTTCTTCTATTCGCTTTGCAATAAGGTGAGTCATGTCTTGATCGACTAAGCTATCAGCGCCAAGCAACGCATCAGCTTTATTTTTATTTTGGCCATCATATTGAATAAGCTCATCCTCATCATAGTCTGTAGATGCATCGTATTCCGCTGAGCTATCGAGATCATCACATTTTTTTGCAGGCGTAGAAGAAGTCAAGATTTTTTTCGTTTTGAGGTCGTTGGATAACTTTATCTCCTCGTCATCACTGTCTTCAAGCTCTTGCACTAACATACTAAGAGCTTCGCAACTATCGTCATCAGATTTCCCTAAACTGTTGATGGAAGTTATGCTATCTTTAACTGAAAGGCCACTACTACGACTCATTTCTTTCCTCATGATGAAATTTCTGAAGAAAGAATTTTTCTCACCACTCGCATTTACTGCAGACGTTGATTTAGTGGTGGCTGTTGATGTTGAAGCTCGTGATTCCTTCGCATCCTTAACATCTTTGAAGTAGTTCATAATGCCATGCAATGGTTTCTCATCATTCTTCTTAGTACTAACTTCTGCTTTATTCTCAATATTCTCACGATTATTCTCAGTTTCACACTGAGCTGTTGAGTCCATATCGATGTTGTATTTAACATCGTTCTCAGCGCCTGTAGAAGGTCCCGCATCTTGACTCCTACTACGTCGATGCGCTGCTTTCTTGAACATGTCCGATATGGATGGCATTCCGGACGAGAGAAAATCGTCAAATTTTCCGGCCGATAGACCGATGTTGAGCAGTGGCGGGGTCCTGAGAAATAAAAATACCCCATGAAATCAATCGATTAGCTGGGTGTGAGGTCTAAACAAGTTAATCTGGAATATAATTTCAAATGAAATAACTTGATATGCTCATCTCTTAAAACTTAAATGATTATTATTAGGAGTATTAAAAAGTTGGAAATTTCGTTGCCGCGAAGAGGCCTCTTGCAATTACCTCAAAACCATCGAGTGGGTTTTTGGCTGGTATAAGACATGAAGCTTAGACAATTTCAATGCGTGTAGTCAACGTTTCAAGCGCGTGATCTCTCTTTTACTGTTCCGTCCATTCTATCCTATTAGCTTGGACACGAGCACCAAATTAAATCATCCTAATTAATTATTTATTAAATAATTGAAAATTTGGAGGTTTAGGGTGTATCGTTATATAATTTACCACAAGTCTCCACTCTTGGCCGTGTTATAAGGCGCGAGGATCGTCATGGTGACGGTGGCTATGCGCTCAGGTGCGTAGGATGGCAACGGACACGACCGAGTGCCGCTGTTGGCACCGTAGCTGTTGTTCTGATCCTGCCCCCCACCAACACGAAAACTTACGGTCAACGTGCGGGCTACGCGCTTATTCTGCAAAATATTTATTTCAGGAGACATTCATTTCTTTGCATTTGTGAATACATCTAACAAATGACATGAAATAATTTTGAGTACACGATTATTTTAACCACGGTGTCCATCGTGCTCTAATTTCGAAAAATGAATGAAAAACATAAAAGCCACACCTATTCTGGTCAAAGTCAAGTGGTGCCAAAAAAATAGAATTGACAACAAGAATATAAGGAACAATTTGAAAATGCATTCGGATATATAATACGTTTTTGAAGTCGAAAATTTTTCGCTTCACATCTTTCCGGTAGCTTTGCATTGTGAAATCGAATGTTTTCAAGAGGCCATTCAACCATCCCTTACCAATTCTTGGTCCTCCACGAGTCGCTCGCCAAGCTCCTCGGCCAAAGCTCGGGTCCACTCTGCCACTCTGGCTCGAGTTCGCAGGCTTTCACGGCCCAGGAAATTCTTGCTGCAGCCCACGCTTTTAGGCAGCTGTCGGGCAACGACTGCCTCATTGTCACGACCTTGGCCCAAGTCGTGCAACCATTTCCTGCGACGTCAATTTTTTGCGAATCAGATGTAATGCTTATACGAGCTTCTTCCGTAAATTTGTGACGACATCATTTCTGCCGACTAAACTTATCATTGCTCTCTAAGTTTAGTTTAGTTGCTAAATGTTTACTAGCGCTTCAGCTATTTAGCTACATTGCTCTCTAAGGGAAACGACGAAATAATTGTCAGAAATCAACAATTACTGCTGCAGTTGATGAGTAAACAATTCAGCCACTGGACATGATTTAAAGGACGCATAACTTACGCTGTTTTATCATCAAAGCGAGACAGAAGAGTTGAAAGTGACAGCCCGCTTAGATCAGCCATGGTTTTGCATCCAAGTTCAGATTGCAAAGTCTGACCAAGTTTTCCACCTAAGTTTCGCACCTGTAAATTTGTTAATTTAATAAACAATAGTAACAAAAAAATAAGTTAGAAAAGCATCAATGAGTGAAGCAAAGAAAAAATTGGTTCTAAATCTTGATTATTTACCATAAGCTGCGAAAAAAAAAAATAAGATGAAGAGCTGATCTTCACCAGTAATTAGAATTTCAGGAGGCCGTAACGAAAAAACGCGCCAAAATTTGAACATGGAAAATGTACCTTGTAGTGTACATGGAAAAATTACCTTGTAGACCGCAGTGTCACGCCATAGCTCGGCCACGCCCTCTTGTGGGAGCACAGTTTGCTGGTTAGGTTTATGCAGCCCACACACCAGCTTAGCGAGAACCTGCACACAATTAGTTAATGATTACAAATTATTCAAGTGCACATGAAATATTTCAATTAAAAAGAATTCTTGTAACTTCGGGGTATATAGACACGCCAAATAACAACAAACGGCTGGTGCAGATAAGTCATGTTGATTCAGGCAGCGCATAAATAAAGATTAGTAAGGACTTGAATAAAAATTACATAAATAATATAAAAAATTTCAACATAAAATAAAAAAAACGAATTATGGAACGAGTGTCGTTCAATTTTCTTTGCATGCTAGCAATTCGAAGAAATAATTCACGCAATTATTGAATAAGCAACGGGAAATACTAATAATTTGACTCTAAATCAAGGGTTAAATTTAAGAATTCTCTACACTGTCTCGCGAATCTTGTCCTAAATATATAGAATACGCAAGACAATGCACCTTATTATGCGCTATGCCTGCGGAACACTTGAAGCCTGTTTCCTTCAGCACCGCGGCGCGGATCTCTTCACACAAACGCGCGGCTACAGCCAAACGCAGCCCGTCGCTGGCGGCTGAGGAAAAGCATGCGAGGAATACCCACTATAATTGAACATTATTTTCCGGAAAGTTAACATGACTATTTTAATGTACTAATAATTTTAAAATTATTACTTATAATTTGACTAGTGTGCACACCAAGACTGCCAGTGAAAAAAATACGCATCACGATAACTGCACATTATTTTTTCTAGATAGTTAAAATAAACGAATGCGTTTTTAAATGAAAAGCCAAGATTCTCAACATAGTGTTACACTTCAAACTGCTTGAACATATTCCCTGTATTTAAAATGCTCATAACTTTAACCTATTTGTAGATTTTAAAAGATGTAAAGAATTTCATTATTTCCCGAATATATCATTGAATAATAATCACTAGATTAAATCTATTTGTTGAACTTCACAAACAACTGTTTGTCGTTTTCATCGTAATAGTCACTGTCAGCATCGATTCTCACCAAAACCACATTCGCCGTTGGTGTCGGATGACGTACCAGGATTGACACATGAAGTCGATGCTTCATCAACAGTTTCGTTCAAATCCTCACCGTCGTCATCAAATGTGGAAGAAGTCTTTAGATCCAGGCGCAAATTTGCGAGCCATGACGACAGTCCCTGAACGCGTTCAGCTGTCAGGAAGATTTATCTCAACAGAAAGAAATACGAATCCATCTGGAATTTCAACATGGTTAACTTTGACATTGATGCAAAATAACTGGAATCCCCAAATTTATTGCCCGTTTCACAGAACATCTATCGATACAGAATCACTACTTCTAATAATACCGTAAAATGCACGAGAAAATGGTAATCTCACCCTCTTTTTCAGCTGGTGTCTTTTCCATCTCTAAGACATCAAGAGCGCCTACAGGAGGATCTGTTTCCTCTGCTGCAGTAGGATCCTTATTTTTAGCCTCATTTTCCATGTTATTGAGCTCCTCTCGATCAGGTATACTGGTCGGAACTTCATTTATTTTCATTATTGTATTGCCGGGATCCTGCACTTCTCCAGGCCTCCAGTCGGACACAGCAGTCGTCTCTAGTTCGTACTTCCTCCGTTGCTCGTCCTCATGCAATGCATATATATTATCAACTGGATTGGACAGTGGGAGCTGCACCCACGTTGAAGGCAGCTCTTCCAGTGTAGGAATGATAGAAATAAGGCCAGAGTTTTTGTCATTACACAATAAAGTTCGATTGTTCGTGGCTACATTACTGCTGCCATCAATTTCAACGTTAGGCACACCAATTGCATGCTTTTGGTCTGGATCGTTAACGACAGATTTTGACAATTCATTACAAGTTTCGCCCCCGTTCTTATATTTTTTTATTATGTCGTCAACCACCTGAGTGACGTCGAGATACGCCTCGTCTATGCTGGCTCGCTCTACCAGTTCACTGTACTGGCACATCACGTCCAGCACTTCCTTCCCAGCGTTACGATACCTGCAACAAATAAGCACATCACTAAAGAAAGAATATTGAACCTAAGGTTTCACGATTTAAAAATCTCCGTAGTATAATAATGTGTGTACTTGAACTAATAATTTTATGCTAGCTTCAAAAATAATCCAATCCAGAAAATATTCACTCACTTTCATTGACTAAAAATTTCGGAACCCGAAAATCATGAATGTCATGCGTATTATGCCGATAATTTTACGAGTTTTTTTAGAGTTAAAAGATTTTTCCGCTCTTTCGTCAAAAATAAAGAAAGCTATCGCGAAAGCTCAAAATAAAACTCGAACCTAGCAACCATCTAACTAAACAACAAGTTTTCTATGACTTTGGTTCATTCAACTTCATTGGTTTATTTTTCCGACTTTCTAGCGGCAAGGCTGTAAGGATCAAAACCTAATCGTCGCGTTCATTTTTTTAACCAATTTCAAGTGAGCAACCATATTATTGTGATAGATTTAGTCATATTGATATTCAAATTTCCGTCGACAATAATAATATCGCCATTAGTTACTCATATTTATATTGACAATAATAGTATTGTCATTAATTACTCATATTTCCATTGACACCAATAATATGATCATATATTACTCATATTTCCTTTGAAAATAATCGTTTTTTCATTAATAATTGCTCATATTTTCATTAACAATAATCCTTTTGTCATTACTAACTCATATTCCATAGACAAAAATGGTATTGTCATTAATTACTCATATTTCCATTAACAATAATAGGCCCGACGCAAAAGGTTAGCCCCACCTCTTTAAAACATCATAACACATCGAGTTTTGCCAGTTTTAACGTGCAAATGGTGGCAAACGATTTGTCTTGCGCTCTGCAATCAATAGCAGGTGAAATTTGGTGAAAATTTCAATTATATACTAGCGGAAAAATCAAGCGGTCCGTGTTTTTCCACCGACACAAAAGGTTAGCCCCACTTTGCAAGTTTGGCGCTCCTGCGGGCAGGACGCAGCGTAGGCTCGCTGCAAAGGGTGCGTTCATAGCGTAGTAGTTGTGCACGGATCTTACGCTCACCTAGGCAAGAAATGGGCGCGGGAAAGCCTCTAACTGAATTTCAGAAAGTTGCCATTCAAGCCCTGATGGCGCTGCCTGAGGGCGAGCGTCCTAGCCTGCGTCAAATGGAGGCACAAGTGGGGTGTAGCCGCAAAGCCATCTCCAACTATCTCAAGGACCCCGTGAACTACGGAAAGCGGCACACCAAAGGCCGCCCCAAGAAGATGTCGGCCCGTGATACGCGTCGCCTCTTCCGAGTTGCGGCGCCCGGCGACTTGAGCGCGCCCAAACTAGTCCAAAAGTTGGAGCTCAATGTCTCCAAGTCCACCGTCTCTCGCACCCTCGCGTCCTCCGGCATCTTCCAATACGTGAAGATGAACAAGGCCCCCCAATTGACCGAGGCTCACAAGCATGCCAGGGTCGCCTGGGGCACAAAGTATGCAAGTACTAGTGATGACACCTGGGCCAAAACCATGTTCTCTGATGAGAAGAAATGGAATTTGGATGGCCCAGATGGTCTGAAGTACTACTGGCATTGCCGCAGGAATGATCCAAAGGCAGCTTTTAGCCGCCAAAATGGCGGGGGCAATGTTATGGTGTGGGGGGCCTTTCATGCAAAAGGGACGAGCGAGCTCGTCTTCCTCGAAGGCAACCAGTGCGCGGACGACTATGTCCAAACGCTCGAGGACCATCTACTTCCCGTCATCCGCCACCAAATTCGCCGCGGCGCCATCTTCCAACAAGATAATGCATCACTCCATACGGCGCGTACGACCAAGGCCTTCTTCAAGCGTGCCAAAATCCGGGTTATGGACTGGCCAGCCAAGTCCCCCGATCTGAATCCCATTGAGAACGTCTGGGGGTACATGGCTGGGATCGTCTACGCCTGCGGGAAGCAGTATGACACGAAGGAAGAACTCGAGTTGGCCATTCAAACCGCCTGGTCCAATCTGGACCCCAACTACCTCCGTAGATTGTCTCAGGGCATGAAAAAGCGGTACTTGGATGTCTACAAAGCCTACGGGGAGCATATCGGTAAATAACCTTTAGTTTTGCAGCTGACGTATGTTTTGTTTTGCCTAAAATGTCAAAGTGTACAAAGTAGGGCTAACCTTTTGCGTCGGTGCAAAAACAAGAGTTTTTCATTTTCTCCGTTACTAATTACATTTTCACTACAGTCTATTGTATTTTGATTACTGAGACCAAGACGATTCATTTGCCACCATTTGCACAATAAAACTCGCAAAACTCTATGTGTTATGATGTTTTAAAGGGGTGGGGCTAACCTTTTGCGTCGGGCTGTATGTTCATTAATTACTCATTTTTCCATTAACAATAATCGTATAGTAATCAATTATTCATATTTCAATGAGCAACATCCCACTTAACTAACTTGCTGAGGTTGGCTTTATTCCGCTGCGTGGGCACCTGCACCAGCGTGATCTCAGGACACGCAGCCGTGGCGTCCGTGCCGCGCATGCCGCGCTTCACGCCGCACGCGCGAGCTTCATAGTTCACCGCAATGATCCTTGGTGCAAAACAAAATCTTTATTCTGGAATCTAGCAATAAAAAAATTAGGTTACAAATGTTTATTATAGCACCAAAAATATACTCGGGTTAAAATGATCTGGGTAATTCGAGGACCGTTTTGATTACTGTACTTCAAATCACGAATCGGGCAGAAGTGATGACGGTATTATATATACAAGGTATGGCAACAAAACTCTATGGGGTTTTCCCATAGGCGCTAATAAGTAAATTATGTAAGCGTACTCTGTACACATCATGAATCACCAATTCGCAAAGATTGTCTCGAATATTGAAAACAGACTGGTAGAATAAGTGAATCAAGGTTACAATTCTGGAGCATAGTAAAACTTTCGTTTTCTTACACGTGCTTATAAGTAACAAGTATTTCACTCGTAAGTACACTGTACACATCGCAAATCAACAATTCGCTAAGATTGCCACGAATCTTGGAAGAAAATTTTAACAAATAAGCTAATCAAGGTTGACATCAATCAAATAAGCTAATCAAATAAGACATCAAGGTACTACACAACATAAATCAGCAATTCGCTAAGATTGTCGCTAATCTTGGAATAAAAGGTTCATAAATAAGCTAATCAAGGTTGACATTATCATCAAGGTACACAAAACAAATCAGCAATTCGCTAAGATTGTTACTACGAATCTTGGAATAAAGCGTTCAAAAAAATGCTGATCAAGGTTGACATTAACATCAAGGTACACATCGCAAATCAGCAATTCGCTAAGATTGTTACTACGAATCTTGGAATAAAACGTTCAAAAACAAGCTAATCAAGGTTGACATTGACATCAAGGTACACATAGCAAATCCGCAATTCGCTAAGATTGTCACGAATTTTGGAAGAAAACGTTTATAAAATAAGCTATCTAATCAAGGTTGACATTGACATCAAGGTACACATCGCAAATCAGCAATTCGCTAAGATCGTCACGAATCTTGGAAAAAAACTTTAACAAATAAGCTTGTCAAGAAAAATAATTGTCAAGAATCTTGGAAAAAAACTTTAACAAATAATAAATAATGAGGTTGACATTGACATCAAGGTACACATCGGAAATCCGCAATTCGCTATGATTGTCACGAATCTTGGAAGAAAACGTTCAAAAATAAGCTAATCAAAGTTGGAATTGGTCACTAACCCGCCACCGCGATGCGTGTTGTACTGCACGACGGCCGCAGGTCTGCCGCGTATGGCGGGATGGTCGCGCTCTTCCACCTGCACGTAGAAGCAGTCCATGTCGACCAGCACCACGATGCGTTCACGAGCGGGGCTCCGAGCCATGACCTAAAGCTGGCAGTGATGCAGTGCACGAAATATAACTTGCTTTTTTGGAAATCTGTGCTGCAAGAACAAAAAAGTATAACTTTTTTAAAACAAAAGTAAACAGTAAAATAGAAGTGGCATATGTGAGGGAAACATTAATCCCAATCTCGTGTAATGACTCGAAGTATCTATTTTTAGGAAATGAATTCCAGCTAGTCGATAAGATTTAAAATCTTACCGAGACGAGTATAATCCAGCCCAAAAAGTAGACAATAACTACATTTATGTAAGACTAATCAATTTGTTTTCTATCCAATTTTCACCGTCAAAGCTTATGAGCGTCTCCCGCTATAATTTTTTCCGAGCATTAATTGCTAGGCTTGCTCCTTGTACATTCAGTGCTGCTGGCTAGCGCTTCAGTTCCGCATATCATGAGTACAACGCAAGCGGTAACTAACAGCCTTCATTAAACCATCTGCACGCTTCAGCTGCCCCTATCCATGTCAACGCAGATGCTTTGACACCGCTTCCTAAAATGCCTCCGTTTAATCACCTCTTGTAGTGCAATTTAAAGTTTATGCCGAGGTAATTCCAGAGCGATCGATGGCTCAATCACTCTTACACGGAATTTAAAAATATTTTTAACCCGGACATCGCGCTATAGATCCCGTGACGGGGTCAATCAACTCAATCCCCGTTATCCTCATTTCCAACAACGCCAAATTTTGACGTCTTATTCAACGTATAAAATAGTACTAGGGCCCGGGGGAGCGTACAACACCCCAGGCGGGGGCACAACCACCCGCCCCCCTTGCGGATTCAACAATAAGTGAATTTTCAAATAACAAAATCAATATGAAAATGTTGGCTCCTTCCATATTCTTGATGACTTGCAGCAGCCATTTTAGCTTCATCTGATCCAGGTATTTCATGTAACCTATAGGGTAAATCAAAGACAGGAGCTGCAGCAAACGCTTTATTATAGTCTGCCAAAGGCGCCACTCTTCACGGTAGAAAATTGAAGGTAAATTCAACAAAAAGGGGAAATCCATCCATTATGTTTACGCTGAAAATTCAAAAGGAACATATCTTGGAGGTGAATGAAAACTATGAATAAAATATGGATTAAGTAAAAGAGGCCAACAAAAAAAATAATAAAGTGCTGTCACTTTCGACTAGCGAAACAGCTTCAATGAAGAGAGCTTCATGGTTCAAAAAATAGTTAGCCGGGGAAAAAAATGACCACACAAGTAAAATAACTTCCTAGGTCAAGCGAGTTTACATTAGTGAAGTTGGGATCGAAATAACGATCAATCTGATGTAATAACAGATGCTGAAGCCAGCCGAGATGCAGATCGTGGGCGGCCCCGTAAATAAGCATGACTCACTTGCAGTAAACTTTAGTGACATTCGAAGTTATGTGACCTAAAACTAAGTAGCAAACATTTAGCAAAGACACTCTTACCGCAACAGATTATTCCAAGTCGTGTCTCGCTAATAACAATGAAGAAAAACTTGTCACTCTGAAAACAATCGATAATTAGACAAATGAAATACAGATGTTTGTGTTAAAAAACTGAACCCACACAACGAATAGGAAATGAAACCATGGCGCTATCAATATTTTTACCCCTTTCTTTATAACCACTTCCCTGTGCTCATATCTATAATTTCGTTCTGCATTAAATAGAATATAACGTGGAAATAGGCCTCAGCAAAATCCATTTGAAAAAGTAAAAATACTATGAATTCCATTTCACGGCATCAGAAGTGCACCCACCCATCAAGTTATATTTCTTCAACATCAAATTTGATGAATTGGGGTACATGGCCAGTGTAGCGCAGGAATTTCATTAGATCTGAACATGTGACTGATATAGAGGCGGTATTGACCAGAGGATGGAAGTCAACCCGTTGCTGAGTGTCGACATTAACCGCGTCGTCTAAAACAAGCGCGACACGATGTTGGTCGTCGTGGACGAGACCGAAAACAGAGACGGAACCTGGCTGAACGCCCAGGTTTTCGTAGAGTGCATCGGCGTCCGCAAACCGAAGATCTTTGCACTGCAGTGCCTTCCCCAGGCTATTGAGCTGCACCTGCGAAATAAATAGAATTATGAAGTGAGAAATAAAATCGTATTTTGCAACGCGTAAAGTACAAGTCATACCTTCCAGCAAGTAAATATGTATGGGATGAAACACGGTGCAATAGCAGCAAACAATATCAATTAAATAGACAAAGCATGAGGGCAACGACGATAAATTAACTGCAATTATTGAACATAAGAATAACAAAAATTGCGAGGTTTAAATCGAAATAAATAGAATACGAATATTTATTTTCCAATCATTAAACACGTTGAGTGCGGGACGACCCACAGATTGGTTGCAAGGTCGTTCCTGGACTAATTCTACGATTTAGTTTTTTTTATTACATTTGTCGACAAAAATTTATGATGTCAGTACTACCTCATTTAAATTTTAAAATGTACGGAAAATATGAAAATTTATTTTAATTTAATTAAAAGTATATTATTAGTTTTTAGGCCATCTGCCAGCGCTGGTGGGTCGTGCCGCACTCGACGTGTTGAATGATGAAGGCACGATGAAGGCACGATACCAAGTCGACTCTTTAATTTATTAAATCATTTGTATTCAATATCCAACAAAATTTATCTTCTGCGCTACCTAGTGGCCATTAAGATAAAGTGTCACAAAATCACAACAGTTATAAGAAATTAATAGTAACCGTAGTTACATCGTTCAACGAAAACTAAATTAACCAAATATTGATTTCATCGCGCTGAAAGAAAATCACAAATCAATTTGAAGCAAGGGTAGTAATTAAACCGTGCCATGCACGTGAGCAAGTCTAGGATATCTCCAGGAATGAGGATAGCCTTCATGTCCATGTAACTCACAGAACAACAAAACTCTCTCTGATGAAAATTTCAGGAATGAGAATTGCGGTGATGATGAACAAAATAAGATGTTGCTGGTGTCACAACTGGTGCACAAGAAATTTTATTACGTGCAAACAAATTAAAAATTTATAATAAGTGAATAAAAAATTTCAAGGCAGCTCGTTCTTAGGCGTCTTTTCCCACAAATACACAGAGTTCCCAAGTTCTCAATTGGCTACCTTAGCATTGTGTCTCGTGGCAACAAGATAGAGCTGACGTTTCTTCTTGTCTCTGAGGAAGAGGTTCTTCATGTGCAGGCCTGGCCAGTCACCAACATGATTGACTAACTCCAGGGCGGTCATGACAGGCGGGTGTTCCCGTGTCTCATACGCAATTCCAAGGGAATTCAAAATGTTTTCCAATCCATGGCGATCCAAAAGCGTCTTTGACTCTGAATTAGGTGGGATAGATCCGTTTCGTTGCTCGAGCGCCTTCAACTCATTCTTACTATTCTTCGATGAGCATTGAGGAGTTGAGCTCATCTTAGTCTTGGACTGAACAGGTGCGGAGATTTCACCAGGTTTTTGATTTACATTCAATTCATTGTACCGATTTTCTTCATCATCCGTCGTTGAAACGTTTTTAATGGTGAACTCGGACCGAGTATTGGACGCGGTGGGAGAGGAATCTGGAAGGAAACAAACAATGCTCTTCCAATTCCAGAAATCTTCGAGGAGGAACAGAAAATATCTCCTGGATGTTGTTCGATATTATTCACGAGGCATCACAATTTTTTAGCGTACTTGTCTGTACAGTTGTTATTGCCCATATAAAGTTAAGAACACCATCACACTAACATCACTAGCATCAAAACTGAATTATTTACAAAAATTGGATATTTTAGCGCATTTTCTAATTTGTGGAAAAAAGGCGCTGTTGTGCTCGTCATGTCCGTCCGTCTGTCTGTCCGTCCGTGACTTCACGTTTTATGCACTATTGTGCTCGTCATGTCCGTCTGTCCATCTGTCTGTCCGTCCGTGACTTCACGTTTTCGTCGACGAGAAAATGCGCTCGCTGTCACTCACTGCAGTGAGTACTCAGTTACATTTTTTTTGTTATTATGGTGGCCACGTACTTTACTGACGATTCAGGTATCACACCAAAAGTTGCAAATAAACATCATCAACGAGATGGGAGGTTTCAATTATTGTAAATTATTTAAATATGAAATCGCTCCTCAGGCGCAAGGAGCGGAAGGTCTCAAGAGGCCAGGCAGCTGAGGGCGGCAAGAAAAGAGCAACGCCGGTATCTTGAAGGGACGACGTGACAAGGAGGGACAGGTGAACAAGAACAAAGACACTCATACAGGAGGCTACTAACACGAGAAAGTGAGGCTAGTTAGTATGCAACTTACTCATACATTCTCGCAACGCGGTAAAGACAAAGCACAAAGCAGATGACTGTAAGGAATACTGCTTACATAACAACTAACCCCACAACTGAGACCTGCAGTCTCAGTTACCCACAGGTCTGTGATGAAGTGCTCAGGAACAAAGGCCTTAATTGGGCAAAATACAATGGAATTTTTGATAAGCATAGATGACACCTCTTCTTCACAAGGTGCGAATTTGTTTACATTCTTTCATTACTCATCACTAACGGCGATAAGCTGCTTTCAAGTTTGCAATAAATTATGTTGCTTGCTGATATCATATAATCAGAGGCTTCGATTAATTTAGACCGACCTTAGTCGTAACGACTTCACCTGATAAGCGAGCGAACTGCATACCGTAATTCTTATCAAAGAACAAAAGGGAGAGTAAAAGCACAAATTCTAATATAATTTCATAATCAATGGAGGAAATCAGGAGCCAATGTTTGTTTTATTCTTTTTTGTGCCATTCTCCATACTATTTGATCTACCCCACATGACTACCTATCTGTTACTACCAAGGTTCCATTTAACGGGGATAACATGTAACAAATGCAAAATGATCACACATATTTAATAGTCAACTGACTGGGGGAGAAGATCGTGTCGCGTAGGTTGAACCACTTGGTCACGAGAGGCGTGAGCGTGACGCCCTGAGCGAGCAGCTGCTTCAAGGTACTCCACACCGCGACGTCGCCGCACTCGCCGTACACCGACGATCCATGGCTTGAAGACTTCAAACTGGAATGTATGATTCAATTGGAAACCTTTCTTAACCGTGGAACTCAGAAAATATGGTACGTTATGTGATTTGAAACCTTTCTTAACCGTGGTACCCAGGAAATACTGGACTTTACGAACAGAAACCTGATTAAGAATTTGTTAGATTTTGTTACAAGTGTAAAAAAAGAAAAAAAACAAAGACGCCTAGGATCTAATTTTAGAATCAAATATCCAAAAAAGAATGCACTTCTGTGATTAATAGCTAAAAACTTCCTTAGGTTTAAAATTGCTGGAGTGAAATCAGCATTAGAACTCAAGTGACACAAGCTTCACGATTGAACTCTGGTGGATAACGAATATGCTCATCAATTCATGACTCAAAATATACTCCATATTGATCAGGGAAGTTTTGTGATGATGAACAGCATATTAACAGCACAAATATCTATGTTCATAAACTTGTATTCCTAAGTACTAAAATAACAACTCTTGAAATGCTAGCATCATAAAATTTGTCAAAGCTCAAGGCTTAACACAAGTCACATACTTGTTCTCCACGGTATTCAAGAATTTTGCGACAGCTTTCTTGTCAGCCTGAGCAGCTGTGCAGCAAGAATCGAGGACTAGGTCCGTGCGGGCGATGTGAGCAAAACTTGCTGATGCTTCATAGTGGTACGGCGAGGAGGCCGGCAGCAGACGACACAAGTAACGGATGATGTTGGCTTCGCCGATGATAGGGCACTGGTGCAGAGGGCTTACCTGTTGTCAGTGCCAAGATACACACAATTAGATAATACCAAAAGTGAACTATAAATGTGATAAAATAATGTCAACAGTTCAAGATAGGTGCAATGAAAAAATACATAGAAAATGTGATAACAAGGCCAGGAGAATTCTAGAAATGAAAGCGGCAGTAGCGTATAATCTTTGCCGCTATGAACAATTGAACATGAAGAATTGAAAAAGGTGTGTGGAAAAACTACGAATTTAAAATTACTTTTACATTAAATCGGATTGTAAAAATCCCACTGAATTGCAGGCGACAAAAGTAATCTTTTAATTCTAGTATAAATTATTATTATAAGTAATTAAGACCGCCCAAAAAATCAAAATAATTTGCAAGAGTTTTTCTTGGAAATAAAACCCGTGAATTGGCACCATGAGGGACGGCGCAGTCACAGCACTCCACACGAGCGTGACGACGATCTGATGATCAGAGCGACTGCCGCCGCTCACGCTGCAGCTGCTGAAGGCGCTCCGCAGGCCGTCCGGCACTGAACCCTGAGCAATAGTACAAGATTCTATTACAGGCTGGACCTACGCTAGACAGTTACAAGAGCCAACACTCGAGTTACTGGGTGGCCAGGTCATCATTTACATGGTCTGCACCCCAATTACATATATATAGGTTGGACCAGGTCACCAGTTACAGGGTCTACACCCCAATAACAGGCAGGGCCAAGACCCCAGTTACTGGGTCTACACCCCAGTTACAGGCTGGGTCAAGACCCCAGTTACTGGGTCTACACCCCAGTTACAGGATGTCCCAGGTCCCCAAATACTGGATTTACACCACAGTTACAGGCTCGGCCAAGACCCCAGTTACTGGGTCTTGCGTGTTGCCAAGACCCCAGTTACAGGCTGGTCCAGGTCCCCAAATGCTGTATCTACACCACAGTTACAGGCAGGACCAGGACCCTAATTACCATGTCCAGGGATGAGTGCAGAAGAGAGGTGGTGAGGACAGTGTATCCCGCGGCTCGCAGTGCACCGGCCAGCACGATGACGCTGTAGGGGGGACTCTGAGGTGACGCGCGAACTACCATGTCGTGACACACACTTGAGGCCTGCAACAATAATTGGCTGTCGGTAACACCTCAGGGAGCTTAGAATTAACATAAAAGAAGCAATGATTAATGTGAATAATAAAAAATTTTCAATTTTCTTTCAATTTTCAAACAAAAAGAAATGCATCTTAGTTTTATGATTCTGGTGTGAATAACCAAAATTATAAGATTAATATGCCATAATTTGGCAAAATGGTCTTGCAATGTCATAATTTTCTAACTTCAGTCGTTGTCATGCGATACTTTTGTACTTTCTTACTTATGAGATGGTAGAGCAAACAAAATGATACCTGGCAATGATCTCGCAATTTTCCAAAGATATCTTAGAATTATGGTAAATGGCATGGGTGAGTCATAGAACTCAAATAAAAAGGTATATTTTAGGTTTTAGCATGTTATAAGACTTTCTTCATTAAGATCTTTACCAATGGCATGACACAAACAAGTTATTTACACTTTCTAAGGAACAGAAAATCTTGCTTTTCTAAATTATAAATATTCTAAATCAATTCAGTACTTGAAAATGAATACAAATCACACATCACTGCACAAGGAACTGAAGAACAAACAATTATAAATATTTGCATAGTACAAAAAACTTATTTTATGATTTCAAAATCACGAAACAACAGCAAGACATCAATACAGTTAAGGGATCATTCAGTACCTTATTATAAAAAGGCATGATTTAAAAACATAGATGGCCACAAAATAATCATAAATCTACAAATGGGACTTGGTAGTCTGAATTTTGATTTACCGTACTAAGTGTTTTGATCTCTCATACATAAAAAAGTCCACTAAAAAGTGAGATACTGCACCTATGAAAAAATTGATATGCAAGAGTTTTGTTTCTTGATTAAAACCTCAAACACGTCTCATTTTAAACACATATGGTGAACAAAATTTCATTACTATATATAATAATCTGGCAATGGCGGCTAAATTTGAATGTGTATAAACTAGAAGTAACTCTGTATTTTAAATATTTTCTCAAAATTAGCCCCTCGTCATTAGTACGTTGCAATCACTCCATAACACATGGTATTGGGATTAAAACTGCAAAATCAAATGGGACAAAATTATTTGAATTAAGAGTCACCACTTCGTACAAAATCAAATGTGATCTCTAGCCTCAAGTAATGGAAACTTATTTATGTGCTTTCTAAAGACATGAGACAATAGGAACAAGAAAATATTAAATACAAATTTCAAAGCAATTCTCACTGAGGAGACAAACCAAAGAACAATGAAGCATCGCTCAAGTTGTAGCGGATATTAGCAGCCTTCATTAGAGAGAAATTGAATGTGCAGAATTTGAGCAGTACAATTATTGGTTTGATGTGTCAAGAGATGTAGGTATATGATCAAAAATAATCTCATCTGAAAATATGATCAAAAATAATCTCATCAATAAGTTACCGTATACAAAATTGAAAAAATTGATTGGAAAAACATCAATCAAAGCAAGACGTCAGTAAGAGCATAAGACATAACAACCACAAGCTTGAGAAGCAACAATTAAGATTAGAGGAATTTGACCAACAGCATGGCACAAATTTTTGTAATAAAACGGTAATTAATTGAGACAATTTTTAAAAACATGTAACGTATAATAAGAAAATGTTTACATAAATGAAATTTTAAACCATGCAATGGTGCCGACAAGAATTGCAGAAATGATTTTTATTTAAAGCAGGAGTAATCTCAAACAATGACTAAAAATACTAGGTGTATGCATTGTTAATCAACAATAATTTTTAAAGGCGTGGCATTTATAACTAATTTCGAAATTAATTCTATTCCACTGAAATAGTCAATATCCATGAAGATCACTCCCAGAAATACAGACACCATTCGTCTTTCAAACATTTTACATAGTGAGTGGTAGGTTGAATTTGGGATTGTTAAAAAATCTGAACCAAATTTTCAAAAATCTTGAGCTGCTGAATAATAGAATAATGTAATACAGTACATAACAGAAAACAAAAACATGCAGCATTTGAACAAGTTAAGACTTTGTTGTAAGTTGTGATTTGGGTAATTAGCATAAATGTTTGTAAGTTGGGGGGTGTATGTAGAACAAATATATGCAAACCGTTTAAAATGGGAATGCGCAAAAGGCATCGTACCTCCTCATCAGGATGCCAAGTTGGACATCCTGGCTGCCTGAGAATAACCTTGGCGAGCCTGTGTTGTAAAAGCAGCAACTTTTGCAACACTGCTTGGTGCTGCTCCAGCACACCAACACTAACAGCATCATTGCTCATACTTCCCTGCCCATGCACAAGCAACCCAATGTGTAATACATATTTTCATTGAAGAAAGTTTTTGATGGCTAAATGGAGTGCACCATGAATAACTTCAAAGTTTTTTTAATATTTAAGACTTGAACTTGAAGGAGGCTGACAATACAGGCAAAATGTTCACAGTATATCTCTGCCACAAGATGCAGCTAGACGAACAAATTTCAAGTGTAGATATATGATTAATTCTTGGAATAATTTTATAGGCGCAATGATAAGGTTGCCTGTGTCATATGGAGCGTGTGAGCACCAGCACGCACATTACGTCAAAGCAATGTCTGATAAATTCAAGTATTAACAGATACTTTTCGATAGTAACACAAACCCAAGGTGCAAAACTTTTCTCTGCCACTAAACTTAGTGAGGATGCGATTAATCACTATCGCTCATTCAAATTACACAAAATGAACGTCCTGAAAGAGCCCTCTACCCCAATTCAATTGAAATTATAGTTTTTGATCAATTAATACAATAATATCAAAATTTATAAACTAACCTAAACTAAACTTAAACAATTTAATAAACTTCACACACGCAACATATGTTAGGCACTAAAACTTTAGCTGTGCTGTATGCCATAAATATGCAGACAAGCAACATTAGTTCTTCAAAACTATTTCTCACGTTGCAGTCAATGTATTAAAATACAAATAAAAGTGTGGTGGATATTAATTATCTCAAACATAGAACGCTGCTGATACATGGTGATTATCAAAAGATGCAGAGAAATTATAAATAAAATTCATTCTTCATACAATACAACAATTTAATTAATGCAAAATATCTTCTACAAAAAATATTTATGATGAATATATTAATGAGCTGACCTTTTCTCTAGATACAAACACAGTTCTGCCCATTTCATAGAAATTATAAGTGCATTCCACAGAGAAAAGTATCAATTAAAAACGACTGTGCAATTATAAGTTGTTTTCTTGATATTACTTTTAATATACAATATAAAGTTATATATATTCATTAAAATTTTCAACACTGAAAGACTGCCTGCATCAAAGCTGAATACATCATTTAAATCAGAAATATTGAATAGGTATACATCTTTTACAGTAAAACCATCCATCTCTGTTCATCTCTGATAATTGCCAAATGTGCAGCCTACATAGAAATATAGCAACTCTGCATTTACATTTCCAACAAATTGCTACTGCATAGTAACACACACTAGTAACTAATAATTTATTTTTCATCAACAGGGAACACTTAACAATTGTATAAGATAAAAAAAGTTAGTTGAATACAATAAGGCAAACTAAGACCTTGCAATAGATTTGTTTATCAACTGGGAAAACTTTAAAATTGTAAACAATTAAAATAACTAGTTAGTTGAACAGCACCAAAAGAACACAAAAGTTACAGTGACATGTGGGATGAAGAGTGGCAGCTGAAGGACTTGCTCTCTCAGTTTTCTCATGATGCCCAATAGTTGAGCTTGATTTTGTGCTATAACTGCATAGTCATTGCCACCAGATTTAACAACTTCTTCATCTTCAGCATTGAGGTCCACGAGCAAAGGTTTTCCATCAACGTTTTCAAAAATACAAGACTGCACTACCACAGATTCCTTGAGAGCACCAACACGATCTCGGAGACTATGAAGCTGCTTGACAACCACTTCTTGTACTGACTCCAGGTTTTTTTGAGCATTTTCCAAAGTGTCTGCCTTCTCAGCCATCAATTTGAATGTCAGTGCATATGAATACACCATAATTAGTTTACTAATTATTTAGCAAAAGTAGAAAATATTCCAAGAAGCAAATTCACTAAGTATGCACTATGCAACCAATATGTCATAAGAGTCATTGTCATTTGTTACAAAAAAAAAACATGTCAAGAATAAATGAGTCAGTATAAATATATTGTCTTTTTATAAACCAACTGATGTATTGTTCTGACAATAAAATGATAGGCAGAGAGCAAATTACAATAATAAAATATGCCATTCTCATGGTATGAAAGATTCAATGAAATATTATAAAAGACCTTGATGTTAGTTGTGGGACAATGTGCCAGCTCCAGTTGTGGAGGCAACTCAAGCAGAGCAGCCAAACTCTTCTTCATTTCTGATAATCCCTCCAGAACTGAAGCCTGTTCAGCAACTAGTCGCTTTGGGGAACATTGATGCTTTATCCATATCCTTATACTGGTTACTGATTACAGATACTTTATTTTATTTATAGTAGAAAATGCAACCCCAAAAGAACATAGGTATATAGTGAGTAATAAGAGATAAACTTGTTTTAGTGCAAATTGTAACATTGTTGAGACAGATATCCTGTAAAGAATGCAGTCTCAACATATAAATAGCTTATTCAAACAATAAAATGCTTACCTACCTTAAACTGTGGAATGCCAGTGAGAGAAGTTGTAGCAATCTTGCCTTTTGTTACATCATCACTACTACAAAGTTGTTGAGATTTCAATTGGTCAAGCTGTTGCTGCAGACCTTGCAGCCTCTCCAAAATAGCTTCTTGACGGGATGCGAGTCTGATTTTTGCATCCATTGATGAATGACAGTCATTTGCAGCATCCTGGAAAGAATGACTTATTGATTTATGGCCAAATTATGTAAAATTTAAGGCAAATGCAACTCACATTGGATTAAAATGAGTAAAACTAGACCTTGCTTTATATTTTGGTGATATCTTTGAACAGGATGAAACTCGGGGAGAAAAATGTTAATGAAGATGAATTGAATGGTAAAATATTGAGATTTTACATAATTAACTTCTTGGGTAAAAGAAATCACCTGATAAATATGAATTAAATTGACTTATGACTAAAAATTTTCTACTTAGTTCTGAAATCTTGAAGCTCTGAAGTGACATACCATCAAAAGGGTAATAAGGGACTGTTTTGAACATTTTTTGTTAATAACTTCTTACAATGAAACATTTCATAAACAAGTATAGGCTCATTTTATAGCTCTTAGCGAGGGCTATCGAATGGCATCTTCAAAATAAAACCATCCCAAATTACCCCTGGGAATGGGGTAATCTAGGACACTTGAAATAAAACTCAATTTTAAAATGTTGAAGCATGCAGAGTGAACTCATCCATTACTAACAGTACTCTGAAGTCCTCCTCTTTCATTAAGGATGATGTAGATTTAGAATAAATTACATTTTCTGTGTTTTTTACTTGTTTATCCTTTATTGATATGTTATCACCATATTCCTTCATTACTGTATTATTGATGTGATATTACCCTATCCATAAACATGCCATTGAGCATTTACAGCAACCTTGTCCACTGCAAGCTTCATATCAGCAGGCGTATAACATTTCTTCTGTATCTGTAAACTTACAGGACAGCTTGTAATTTCACACCATTTTAATTGGGTTAAGTGAATTTACTATAAAAAAAAGTATAAAAAAAAAACAACCTGAAACAGAAAGGAATGTTTTAGTAACAACCATATTATATTTTGGAGAAATAAATCATAGTTTAGGTTAATTACTTTTCATTTTATGATGCCCAGTGCACAATTCTATACATGACATTCCGTGCACAATTTTGTTATGACCGATTATGCATTAATTTTTTGATAAGTGAAATTTTTCTGCTGAGCAAGGTAAATTTAATCAAAATTCTTTGTTTTTAAACAATTTTTAATTTTTTGTTAACTGGAGCCTTTGCTAACTGAGGTTAAACTGTAAATGCATTTTTTAGGGGTATCCCTTATTACCCCATTGCGCAGAAATGGCTGCCATTTTTTTACGAGATTGGCAAATTCCGTCAATCGCGTTTTCGAGCCAACACTTGAGTGCAACTTTTATGTAAGTAAAATTTTTTAATATGACAAATATTTTTTTTGCTCCAGACCTTAGTAGAGGTACTTTTCCAAAATCACATTTTTTCGCACTTTTTTCAGCGATTTTTTTAGAGATAATAAACGTATGATTTCTTAACTTGCTTTATACAAAATAGATAGTAAAAATGTTGAAGTTTACACCATTATTTTTAGTTTTGCAATATTTTGATTACAAAATGTCTACAAAATATGGGATGCATGTCCCGATTTACCCCGCTTGTCCCTTATTACCCTGTTTGGCAGTAGGTACGTTAAATAACATTGGGATTTCATGGCATATTTTGGACAACAAAATAGGATATACCATATATGTAATTCATAGAAGAAGATGATTCATCTAGAGCCAATTTGAAATACTGGGCAAAAGTTTCCTAAAATTTTGGGTGGGAAACAATCATTTCACAGTTGATTTCTAAAAATTGTAGGTAAAATGGGCTCCTTTTCATTTTTTTCACTGAAAAAATTACAAAAAGGTCATAAGAGCCACTAAAATTGGCCAGATTCACAGGAATTTTTGTTTGTTTCATGGATGACTTCTGCCTAGTTTTCAAGTTAGGCAGTTAGATCTAGCAGGAATCTCTCAGCCCCAAAAATTTAGGGAATACCATCAAATAGGGTAAAAAGGATGTTTTTTTCATTTACAACTTCTTACCATTATATACTTCATCAACAAGTTTGAGCTCATTTTAATGATCTTTGTGAAGGTTATTGCATGGCATCTCCAAAAAAATTCCATATGCTATTCGTAAGGTGTCAGAAAAAGAAAAAAAGCATCCTGAAGTACCCCTGGGAATGGGGTAAGACGGGATGCTTGAAATGAAATTCAATTTTAAAATATTTGAAGCATGCAGAGTGTACTCATCCATTACTAACAGTCCTCCAAAATCCTTCTCTTTATTTGAAAATGATTTAGATGTAGAATAAATGAAATTTCCTTTGATTTGTACTTGTATTTACTTTACTAATATTACCCTTTCCATTTTCATCAACAAACATTATTTTTTCTGTTCTACCCAGTATGCCTAACACTATTAAAAATTCCCCGATAAAACTTCCATGCCATTGACAACAACCTTGTCCACTGCAAGCTTCATATCAGCAGCCATATAGCATTTCCTCTGTAAGCTCATGGGACTGGTCTTGTAATTTGCACAATTTTAATTAGGTCAAGTGAATTAATCCACCATAACAAAAAAAAGATTGTAAAAAAATACTTGAAACAGAAAAGAATAATATAGTGACAACTATCATATTTGTATGGAGAAATAAATCATTGATTAATCATAGTTAATTACTTTTCATTCTATGTTGCACGGTGCACAATTCTATCTATGATATTCCATGCACAATTTTGTGATGACTGCTGATGCATTAATTTTTCCATAAGTGAATTTTTTTGCCAAGATAGGTAAATTTGATCAAAATTCTTTGTATTTAACCAATTTTTTTTTTTGTCAACCAGAGCCTATGCTATCCAAGGTTCTACTGTATTAAGGGGTGTCCCCTATTACCCTGTGGGATTGTCCCCTAATATGCCGTTGTGGAAATGGTGGCCATTTTGTTTTGGATCAAGGTTCGCAAATTCCATCTATAAAGTTTCAAAGCCAACACCCATGTGCAACTTTTATGTAAGCAAAATTTTTTAATACTGCAAATATTTCTTTTGCTACAGGCCTTAGCAGAGGTACTTTTCACACTTTTTCAGAAATTTTTTAGATGTATAAGTATGATTTCTTAACTTGCTGGATGCTACATAGATAGGAAAAATGTTTAACTTTACACCACTATTTTTAGTTTACAACAGTTCTACAAAATGTCAGAGGACTGTCCCTTGTAACCCCACTTGTCCCTTATTACCCCATTTGATGGTAATATGTAAATAGATCCAAAATCAACAAGAGATCCAAAATCAACATGACAAAAATTCTCATTGGAAAAATCCTTTCTAGGCATCACAGCCTGTTGCACATGTGGACCAGTCAAATGAAACGTGTGCAAATGTTTGATTTGTGGACCTGATAGTGCTACTGATTGGGTAGGTTGGCTGCAAAACCATTGTGGGCAAGTCCTCAATGTTGCGGGCAAGTCCTCCCCACAATGTCTCCATTATAACTTTTATTACATAGCCAATTTTTACAGTCAAAACTGTGCACAAGTTCAATATATCATTTTACTATATCTGCAATCTTACAGTATGATGTCATTTTTGCATAATATATTGATACATATTTTTTACAACATTTCTCTTTAACTTCACTTCTTGTTTGTCTGTTTGTCTGTCTGCTACAAATCTTATAATCGATTTTTAACACACTTCTACCTCTTCAATTGATCTGAAATTTGGCACACTTGCATAAAGATGGAGACAGCGCATGAATCAATTGACAGAAAAAATAATTTCAAAGTTTTAAAAAAAATTTTATTTCTAACATTAAAAAAAATTGACAAACTAATTTTGTCTGCTACATATCTTATAATCGCTATTAAACACACTTCTACTTGTCAAATCAATCTGAAATTTTGCACACTTGCGTAAAGTTGGAGACAATGCATGATTCAATTGACAGAATAATTAATTTTGAAAAATTTTGTGTTTTTTTAATTTTGAAAATAAAATTTAAAAATGACTTTTTTATATTTGATGATAAAATTATAAATTCATTCTACATATGTAACATAGCAGACACTGAATTCTTTAGAAGTGTTGTCTTCAAAAAGTAATTTTTAAACGCATATTATTTCTATTCAGTGTGCAAAATGACTACGTACTGTCAAATGGGATAATAATTGACAAGAAGGGTAGATTGGGACAGTCATCTGCCATGGCGACGATGATGGCGTAAAAATGTTATAGTAGCAAAACTAATTGAAATATTGCAGAACTAAAAATAGTGGCCTAAACTTCAACTTTTTACAACACTTTAACTTCACTTCTTGTTTGTCTGTTTGTCTGTCTGCTACAAATCTTGTAATCAAAATTGAACACACTTCTACTTATCCTATTGATCTGAAATTTTGCACACTTGCGTAAAGTTGGAGACAATGCATGAATCAAATGACAAAATAAATAATTTTAAGAATAAAATTTTTTTTCAATGTTAATAAACTGAAAAAATAATTTTGTCAGCTACAAATCTTATAATTGATGTTTGACACACCTTTACCCATCCAATTGATCTAAAATTTTGCACACTTGTTTGAAGTCGGAGGCAATGCTTGAATCAATTGACAGAATAAATAATTTGAGACAAAAATTTTTATATATAAAAAAAGTTGAAAATTAATTTTTTTAATATTCAAAAACAAAATGAGAAATTTATTGTACATCTTCAACATCTTCAACATTGGAGACACTGGATTCCTTAAAAGTATTGTCTTTAAAAAGTAATTTTTAAATTTATATTATTTCTATCCATGTAGCATAAAAGCAATTAAAAAATCATACATTTACTAGCTCTAAAAAATCCCCAAAAAAATGTTGAAAAGTGATATTTTGAAAAAGTGCTTCTGCTAAATTCTGTGGTAAAAAAAATATTAGCTGTACTACAGATTTTGGCTTGAAAAAAAAAATGCAAACAGGTGTTGGCTTTAAAACTTCATTGACAGAATTTTCATACCTCAATCCAAAACAAAATCTACAGAGTACAGAGGAGGACTTTGGAGTACTGTTAGTAATGGACGAGTACACTGTGGATGCTTCAAACATTCTAAAATTTGTTTTTATTTCAAGTGTCCCAAATAACCTCCTTACCGTAAAATGG